TATATATATATATATATATGTATATATATTAAAAGGACTGGACGGAGGCAATTGGACGAGCCCCGTCCACCCCTAATGCGTCTAACCACTCGAGTACCAACTCCATAGGTAAGGGGGGATTCGAACCCTAGACCAAATGGGACTTATAACGAACAAAGGCGATACTCTACCAGCTGATCTAGGAATATGTATATACATATATGTATGTATGTATGTGTATATATGTATGTATGTATATAATATAAAAAGGCTATTATATAAACCAAGGCCATCTCCGATGTGCCTAACAATTCGAGTACCACACCCTCTACCGGGGGGAATTGAACCCCAAACTAGAGGGGACTTACAACTGGCAAGCAGATGCCCGACCAACTGAGTTGAGTATGTGGCGTATAAATACATATATATATTCCAAAAAATCAGACAACAGCTTTCTTACAAACACTGCACTTTAAATTTTAGAAGTCAAGTGTGCATTTTGAAGTTTCAGGCTTTAGTTTCAGGCTTCCTAAACTATTTTTTTTCTTCTGCATGGAGGTTTACTAAGAAAATAATTATTCTCTTTCGTCTCTCTTTAGAAAGATTCCTCAAATAGTTTATGAGGCCTTCACCCTCCTTGTTACTTTTCTGAGAAGAGAATTTAATGTGTTTGTCACTCCGCTTGTTTTGTTCTCCAGCATATGAATTCAATATTGATTATTTGTAACCCTGCCTTCTAAGAGGCCATTTAGCTTACAGATTCTGATGTTCTCATTAATGTGATAAGTTTATTATTAGATATCAGGAGTTCATACAGCCAAAGAGTAGTTTGAAGTACATTCATTCTGACTTATAGAGTCTTCCTGATGTTAAATCTAAGGGTGAATATACATACATGCTTACCTTCATAAATAATTTCTTTAAGGAAAAATAAATTTATATGTTCAAATAAAAGAAAGATGAATTGGAGACTTGAAAAGTAAGACCCAATTAAAAAACAATATAAGGGAACATTAAGAGGCTGAGAATTGACAATGGAATTTTCCTCCGAATTTATAATTTCTGTCAAAAGGAAGACATTACAAGGCACAAGCTTAGAGTGGGTACACATCAAAAGGACAAAGTAGCATAAAGAATGAATAGGATACACTTGGTGAGGTATAGGCCAATATTAGATAATGTTGATATGAGCAAGAACCTCTTTCACTTAGGTTTTCAAAACTAAAAGCTACTCGGTGAGCAGATCTCCGATCAATGCTATTGGGTATTAGATTATCCAGCAAATTATTCAATTCTAGAAGTTTGGTTTTCTTGCTTGTGCTCATGTCAAAGAGAGAGATAAATCCAAGAGCTAGGATTTGCATGCTTCTTGGACATGCAAATGGGGAAAAGGACAGACTTCAGTTTATTTATTCGAAGTTAACCTGATTTCTTGAATAGCAAATATGTCAAGACAACAAGTCAACCATATTCTGTGGTGCAGATGCAAGGCATAAGCCTTGAGGCAAATTGAGGCGTAAAACTCAAACAAAAAAAAAAAATTAAAATTATTCATAAATATCTGATAAATCACAAAAATCATTAAATAAAAAAAGAAAAACTAATCTCAATCTCAAGTCTTAATCTAACGTGAAAGTGTGAATAAAAAAAAAATGCAGTATGCTCTCACTTAAAATTTAAATGTCATAAGGACAAAGATTCATATCACAACGGCATGCAAATCAAACATCCACTTGCTCGTACTTGATTGCAGGCATGCAGCGCATCACTCGCCGCTAACAACACTCCCCCTAACCATTGTGCTTCATATCCCTTGAAAATTCTCCATTTGCTTACTACCCACTTCCTCTCTTGCTCAACCTTCAAAATTCTAATCTTTAAATTTAGACTGAAATAAAAGTCATATTAAAAATATTATATAAAAAAGAAATATATATATTTTTTACTCTTATTAGGTATTAGTTTGATGAGTCACCTTAAAAGCCTCAAATAAAAAAGCACAAATCTCATACGTACAATATAGACACTTTTTCTAATATTGAATCCTTCCCACTATCACCTTTGCTAGACTGCTCACAACCTCCGATTGAGTAAATCAAAGAGACAAGTGAGGAATGAAAAAGGTAAACTAAAATATTTGATATAACTTTTAAAATAATTTGATCGTCAATTGATTTCAACAAAATTTTCTTGCTTAATGGCTTCAAGTGCATAATAAGATTATGATTTTTTAGTGCAGTGATGAACAAAGACTTCACATATGAAGTATCGACTCATCTGGCATGCATACTATGATCATTCTACCTCTCAAGAAAGCTCGCGGCTCAAAAAATTTCATAGAAGTAGTTTATTTTCCATGGAATCACGAATAAAGAACTTCGAAGAGATCTACAATCATCAACTTTCAAATACACACATATAATCTTATTTACCACAAGCCGCAAGCACCATTGGACACCACTATTTCCCTCAGGCATCTTCCCTTAGTTTCATTATCTAGAATTGCTCTCTATGCCCATACCAGAGAAGAATCATAGGTAACACCCAGGCAGCGGCCATAGTTGCACTAAAAACAGCTCGTAATTATCTTTAAGATCGGCAGTTTCCTTCAATCAGGTAGGTTGTTCCCCTCTCAAAACAATTTTTAGACTGTGGATTCTAGAAATAGGCACTAACATTCAATTGGAATAACAGAGTTTTTATTGCAAATTGATAAAATAAAGCAGTAATATTAAATCGTTGCTTAAAATAGTGTTGAGCTCCATACCAGTTGCTGTAGCACTTAAAGCACATTGCATGACAGCAGTTGGGTATGACAATCTTGCTGTTTAACTCCATGCATATGCCACATTCATCCTCTCTTTCAACATCCAACTCTGAAAACTGCCTCCTCTCACTGTTAGCCATCTTTTTGTCTCTCTCGGTCAACGATGTCCTTCGATTACAATTTTCCATTGTAGTGATTCCATTTTGCATTTGAATCAATGAGGGAAAAATAACAGCTGCCATATCAAGAATCAGTAAAATAAAAGAGTGATCAAATTAGAAAACTAACTTGTCTGTTCGTAAACCAATCAGCTTACAATAAAATTCCTTAATGCTTGCTTTCTTTACACATGTTGATTTGGTGCCTCTTCGATCAACACGGCTCTAGTAAACACAAGATTTTGTTAAGAAATAAAGATCACCGAGAAAGATGCAGTATATGACCATATAGTCCAGAGACAAGTTCTGAAACCTCTACATAAGAAAGTCGGAAGATGCAAACCTCACATATCAATATCCTGAGCAGCCCAAAAGCCCCAGCAAGTAAAAGGGCCAAAGTAAGGCTGCAGTCTGCCCACTTTGCCATGCAGAGAAAATGCTTTGCAGCTGGACTATATGATATCACCATCTGAAGATATGCGCCATCTTTCCTTTGAAGCTCCGATGCCCTAAAACCTCGGAAAGGATCCGAAAATTACAAAAGAAATATAAAGACGGCTAAAATTTAATAGTGAAAGTACAGCTAAAATGTCGATAGGCAAAAAAAGGTCATATGATTTGAGAGTAATGTGTCAAAATAGTAGTTTGACTATTTACATGATGCCATTTTAGGCCCAAAGTCTATATAAGTGACAAATTAGTCGAAAATTCTCTAAATTTGGGCTAAAATAGTCCTCCCCTAAGACTATTTCAGCCCATATTTTTAAAAAGCATGGGGAGTAAATTGGCACTTTTATAGAGTCCCCTAAGACAATTCCAACCCATGTTTCTAAAGAGCATGGAATTCACACTTTTATAGACTCTGGGACGAAAATGGCTCCTACAAAAAATTGATCATTTTGACACACTTCTGTATCATTTGATTATAAGAGCTGATAATAGCACAAGCCCTTGAACATAACCTTCATTACACCAAATTTCAACATCATGAATCCACCAGCATTAACCAATCTAACAGAAGCAAATATACAAAATGACCAATGGTCATGAATATTGAGATTGTCACTGAATATTTATGGTTGCATCACTGGTAAGTAGACAAACAAATTAATTCTGTCAAAGATGAACAAAAATCAGGCTTCTAGAGTAGTTCCTAAGCACAAGTTTGGAAACCAGGTTGTTGTGCTTCAAACAGGCCTATGCCAAAATTAACCAACCTCCACCCATCCCAAAAGCAAGCAATCAAGTTAAATTAAGTTCGAACTCATATGTGCATGTATGTTTGGATGTTTTGAGACTTTATGTCAAAAAGTTTGCTTCGATGCATAAAATGTAAATTTAACAATTTTAGGATAAATACAAAGTTACATAAATTATCTTCTTGGATAATGAGAGGTTTGAATGCTAGTAATAATTTTTATTATTTACTTTAAATTAAAAGTTAACCAGAGAAAAATTAAATTTTACAACTCTTTTAAATCCTATAAAGAGGTGACTGGAGAGAGATATGATTATGCATGTGCTACAGGGTTGTAGCCAATTACTACAGAGAATTAAAAAAAAAATGAATAAAAGAATAGAGAGAATAATATGGTTCATTTATTTGTGCCGTGTGGTCATGGGAAACTATCTACATTCGATGCAGGCATAGCTGTACTTGAAAAGTGCAACGGTACCATTGGAAAGAATGGCAGTTCTGTATTAAGCTTGCCAAATCCATTTTGGGGAGCATCCAAGTGCCAAGTTTTGTTAAAATTCAGATCTTTATATTTATCATCTTTCATCTCTCATGTGGTGTTCTTGTCTTCCAACAAGTTATTAGGAAAATTTCCAATTTTTTCAGACTTAAAAAGATTTTAGGCTTATTTTTGTTGTCAGATTGGGTTTACTTCACAAAAATTCAAAATAAACTGGGAAAGAGAAAATTAGACTAATTAAGCTGCAGCAAAACTCAAAGTGTCGGTGGGTTAATTTTAACACTCACATTCTGTGTTTTCAAAGAGTATAAAATTTCAAATTTCCACAGCATAGGGTTTTTCATGATTTAAATCTGTGATCCCTCGGCCAGGATGAAAGGCAACCTACCATTGGTCTGACTTTCCCTCATAATTTGATCGACAATTAACCACAAATGATTATGTGCCTACCATTTTATTGCACCTAGTGACAATAATTCAAATCCAAAATATAGGTCAAACTATAGAAATTTACTCAAATTACCATAACATAAGCATGCAACAAAAAAAGTGTGAAAGAAAACACTTCCTCCATCTTAAATAGAGGAACTTGCAATAATCTTCTCAAAGCTCATCTTCTGCGTCACATTTCTGCTAAAACTTCAAAAACTTAATTGAAAAAGCAATTTCACAATTTACAAGTAACAACAAAGAACCAAAAAAAGAAAAAACTCTACATATCATTAAACTGTGACTTATTAATATCCTTTTATTAACATGATTCAACAAAAAATAAACACAAACAAGGAACTTGGCCAACAAACAAACCATGTTGTGACTGTACTAGTTGTTTAAATGCATAACACATTCATCATATTGTCTAGTAAGCAGCTCATTTAGGGGTTTAATAGCATGCTCCTTTCAATTTCAAATACATCTAGATATTATGCGTGCATAGAGTTTGAAATAATTTGCTTGCTTTATACGAATAAAATTACCCTCACTGGTTTAGAGAAATGTTTAAGCTTGTACATAAATTCTACTTTAAGGTTAAATACATCAATTTCGCAAAAATCTTTTGAAAAACATTAAAGCTCAATTTTGATGGTCGATAGCAAAGCCAACAGCAAACAAGATCTTCAAACCTCAAGTCAATCTAAGCTCGAGCTTGATTATTTTGCAGCAAACCAAGCTTAAGAAAAGGTATATTTAATTGTTGGGCAAGCCTCTAGCCTTACTTTCAGTAAAACTGATATGTCACCACCCTCTGATGTCAACGAGCACTCATTAATGTGCAAATCATTCAAGAAGGTTTGGATTTCTTAAACAACTATGGCCTCCAAAAGTATCTTTTTTTGTGAATAGTTTAAGGAAAATACTACTCTCAAGGAAAATGTGTTAATAGAAAAAATGATAAAACATTATCATCATTTTGACGACTCGAAGTTTGAGATAACTAACCATCTCAAAAAAATATTTCTATCAATCCAATCATACAAAATTTGATCAGTTATCATTGATGCACTTTTAGCATCAACATTTATGATATGGCACATTAAAAATGACTATCACCACCAAACCACCACAAGTTACTTAGGGCAAATTTGAGGTAGCATTGTGTGACAATATTTCTATCAAGTGCGGGCAAGATCTCCCACTTCATACTATTGTGCAATTGATACTTCTCTTTTATTTTGCAAGCATTGCTCTCCTACAACTTGAATCAATCTCCTTTGGCCTTTTTTTTAAGTTATTATCTCATCTTTCTTGTCCTTTTTGTGTATTGCTTCATTGAAGGACTTAACACAAATAACTTAATTGTTTAATAAGATAGGAAATTTATCAATTATTCATATCTCTTCTATACTTAATGAAATCTAAACTCCTTGAAATTATAGTTAGAGAACAGAAAATATGTTCACCTTATACTTTATGGATTAATTAGAAATCATAGTTTATTGATATACTTATTTAATTTTTTTCTACTTCTATTTAAATATATGAATCTAAACACAATATTCATATAAAGAGTTATTTGTAATGCTCCATGTGAGATCTGAAACCTACAATCGTGGCTCCTTCAGACAAAGAATGTTCTTTATTCTTAATCACTAAGAAGGCGGGAAGATATCACCCAATACAGAAAACTTAAAGAGCAATTAGAATAATAAAATAAAGTTTCTATTATTTTATTTGTTTATTTTCTAGAATTATTTTAAACATAAATGCTCTTTTCTTCTGGTACTATATAAAACATATGATGAAGTTTTTTGCACGCATTATATCAGCCTTTGAATAATTAGAATTTCGAGCAAATCATATTGCATTTAAAATATGATAGTAGAAGAAAATCACTCATGTGCATGTCGGTAAAGGCACCTTAATACCCTATCATGAGAAATGGGTAGCTTAGCTTGTTGTAATTAGAAACATGCTACTATATGTATCAACATCATATAAAAGTGTCCATGACAATAACAATAGTTGTTAGTTTGATATGGGTGGTATGCCATATAAAGATTGGAAAACTTCTTAAATAATCATAAGTAATGCTTCACTTTGTTCCACCATGAAGGTTGAAGCACCCATCTAACATTAATGATAACTTTATATTGTATTAAACTCAGATCAGAAAATGTGTGGCCTCAATGCCAACAATAAGCAAGAATGCCCAGGATAGCAAGCACTTGTCCCTCTGCTCCCCTTCCCTACCTTACCACAACTTTTTGAATCCCCTAACGGCCACCGCCACCACCCTAGATCTACTCTAGCAGCATGTCATTTGTCGTGTTTGTTGTTATTTCTTATTTCTGTTTATGTGGTTGTAATTTCCTACGTGAATTCAGCAATAAAATCGTTTTCTCATTGTTTATTGGTTAAACTCCGATATCAATAATTTCGGTGTGCTCCCACATGACCTACAACAAAAGAGTAGAGATACAAACAATGGTGATGATGATGACAAGCCTAATAGAGATACCAATGTACTTGATTAACAGTTAGGCAACTCCAGCAGTTTCAAATGGAAAAAAAATGGACAAAAAAGAGCACAATAGGTTCTACAAAAAAGCTCTCAAGTAAACTAAATCAACTGGTTGTTCCAAAATGAACTCATGATGTGGAAAAGTGGAATTTTCTGGGAATTTCAAGGCAGAGGTAGCTTCAATTGGAGAGAGTGAGAGAGGTGAGTACCTCGATGGCTTTGAAATTTATTTCATCAAACAAAAAGATATAAAAAATGTCTTTAAATCTCTTAATGAAATGAAGTTGTGGTTTCTTACACAAGAATTTGAGAAGAGTCCTCCTAGAATTCTATTTGATGGTGCAAGATATAGCGAAGTAATTGCGAGTTAAGGTTTCCTTTTCTGTCAAACCATTATTGTTGCAATTTTGTTAATTCTATGATGATTTATTTGTAGATGGAATAATTGTCGGTGATGTTACTTTGTGGAGTAATTTTTATTATAATCATGCAAATTTTTGTGACGTTACTATCACACTATTAGTGAATGTAAATTTTATCCATTTTTATTATGATACTATGCAAATTCAAGTAAATTTTCTTTTTTTTTTTTTTTTGGACCCAGATGGAAGATAGTGAATTCATATACAAAATATAAGACTATGAGTAATATAAGAAAGACACAACTGATTTCTCGACTAGCTACAATGACAAGAGTTGTACCATGTATTATAGTAACTATTTAAATAAGTCATCATACGTTACCTCACAAAAAACTAGTTAAAGTGGGTACGAGAGTAACTAGATGGACAAATAACTCAGCTTCATAAAATTTTTCATATGATTTGATTTGAAGCAAAAAAATCATAGAGCATAAAAAATGTTTGCACTTATTACTTACGTACTAGCACAAAGTTGTTCAAATAAAGCTACAGTTGAAAAGTTGCTCTTGCGAAACAATTTCGTGCCATTTTTAAGACAACCTTCAATGACTTGTACAGATGTAAGAAAATGTGCTAACATCAGCTGAAACTACATTTAGGAGGACAACTACTAAGATTGCGAGAAATTATAGGCAGAAGTACTTAAAAGATGCATAATCTAATAGATAATCCATCCCTTACTTTTTTCATATATTTTTCAAATTTCTTAACTTCTCTTTTATTATAGGATTGCATTAGTGTTGTTGATAGCACATATGAAGATATGTGTGCCCCTAAAGAAAAATAGGTTGCATGCATTGATCAATGTGATCCACTAACTCAAAATGTGATGGTTGAATGTGATTTTAACAAATGTTTTATATTTGATATGGATTTTCAAGAGGTCATTACACATAATAGTCAAAATTTCTATGGCCTTTACTTAACAACACTTACCAATTTCTTATGCCCCAACAAATCAAATGATGACTTCAAAATTATATATTTATAAATGATATTTTGTTAATAAATCATATATAAATAAAATTCATGGTGTCTTTTCGATATCCTTAGTAATGAGACTTCTTAAAGCATTATAGTGAAACATAATATCATTTTACTTTATGGGCCCCTAGGGATTTTTAATCAAAACATTCATCATTAAGAAGTGTTGTTGAGAAGACATTCAACGTATAGAAAAAGAAATGGGATATGCTAAGAGACAAGTCAAACTTTTCATTTAAGAAAAAAACTAACATGGCATTGCATAATATTATCAAAATATATTTTTCTAAAGTGAACCTCGAATTTGGACAATGCAGTAATGATGTAACTTAAAGCACTATATTATCACATAGGCTAGCACATTTCCCTGGCAGATGATATTAATAATGAAGATGAATATGATGTTCATGGAGGTGGAACATTAGAAACAAAAGAATTGCAAGAATATAATGCAACTCAATTGATGCCTCATAGATTCTTTTCGTTTTTTTTTTTTTTTTTGGGTCCTCAATTTATGTGTTCTTAGATTCAAATGCTTTTGTTTATGTCAGACATAATAGAAAGAAAAGTAAATTCCAGTCAGAGCATTACGGTCTACAATATTTACTAGATTATGTTATTTAAAATTTATAGTGTAACTTTAAATGTTTTATAATCTTATTGAAGCAAAATGGATAATTTATATATTAATATAATAATGTTTATCCAACTATGGAACTTAATTGTATTGTTGGGCACTTTGATCTTTTTTGTTGTACAACACATTTAAAGCATACTAATAGACATGTAAAGATAGATTTGGGTATTAAAAAGCAAATCTTCAAAACATAATTCAATAGCTTTTCAGCAACACTTCTCACAACAATTTCGTTAACATTATCTTTCCATCAGACTTTTCAAGTAGCAGAAACTACACCAAATGAATTCATAATTTCTAACAAAATGTTCCGCGTATTATCTCATCCATCAATAGGGGTGTAAACAACTCAAGCCAAATTCAAGTCATGTCTGGCTAAAGTTTGAACTTTAATTAATTAATCGAGTTAAAGCTCGAGCTAAATTCTATCAATTCAAATTGACTAACGAGCTTGCTCATTTATTATGAATGAGAAAAAATGATTTTAATTCAAGAATATAGTGTAATAAAATAATAAAGGGAATAAAAAAAGTATAAGAAATAATGACCAACAATTTGATATAAGAAAGGAAAAACAATTTTTAAAAATTTAAATAATTTTATCCTTAAATCCTTAAATTCTAATGTATTTTAAGTGTTTTTTTTACATTAACATCTATTAAATGCATCGAATTGGAACACGCTCAAGCTTGGTTCACCAAATCACCAAGCTCGAATCGCGGGCTACTTATTGAGCAAAAGCAGAGCTAGCCACAAGTGGGTTTTACTCCATGACCCCCCCATACATCATTTAATGATAGAGAAACAAAATTGTTTAAAAAACCTTAAAAACCAATTCATTTCATATGGAAGTTCTGAGTAATGCTCCATATAATTTTTTTTTCTCTGGATTGTTTCCCTCTAATCATCAAAATACAGTGGACTGAACGGAAACAAGATACCAAAGTGAAAGTAAACAGAAGTGCTCGCAATAAGAAAAAAAGAAACGACGCACAGAAACTTATCCAGTAGGCAAATAAACTAAAACCAAATAATCCACAATTAAACAGGCATACAAAAATATTGAATAGCCTCTTTCTTTAAAACTTTTTATAAAAAAGTTATCTTTGTATATTAGATGTCCATGCCCATAAACAATCATCAAGAAAAATCGCTGCACATCAGCAAAAACCAGCACTCCAACACCGATCAACGACAAATTATCTTCAAACAGCGCACCATAATTCATCACAGAACACAAAAAACCCCTTCAAACCCCTCACCAATGTTCAAAATTGCAATCCAGAACCCCAAAATTAACAGAATCTGGAGTTCACTTACAGTGTATTCGCGAGTTCGATGTCAGCTAAAAGGGACTTGAGTGAATCGCCAAAAGAATTCCTCATGAAAACCTAATTCAAGAACAAAGTATCCAGTTCCCAGAAGCCTAAATCCCAAAGCTTTCCCGCCCTCCCCAGGCTCCAACAGCAACTCTCCCCGTTCTCCGTTTTCCTCCGCCTGTCACGTACTGAAGTCACGGGGAAGCTGTAATAGCCACGTGGGCAGTAAAGCCGCCGCCATTGACTGACTGATTAGGTATGATGTTACATATAGTAAAAAAAAAGGAAGTAGATGATTTATAGCTCGTCTACTTCTGATTCAATTCTGGCAATCACACACTCAGAGTTGGTTGTAGGATTCGATGATTAGATGGGGGTGTGTGAGAATTTCATTACCCATTACATAAATTTGAAGAAAAATTAAATTTTTAATTAATTTTCATTTTCTTAATTAATTTTCATTTTCAAATATTTGAGTACACAGCACTTGAACATTGTTTTATAATAAAATTAGAAGTTTGATGGTTTTTTTGAAACTTCGAACTGAAGCATTTATGTGTTATAATTTGATCATTATGAATTTGATAAAAATATCAAAATTTATGGGTTGGGGTTTTGTAATGAATTTTAATTTTTAAGTGAGAATTTAAAAATTGAATGAAAGAGGATGCTAGATTTATAAATTATAATTGGAATATTTACATACATATCACCCAATTCTTAAACTTCAATATTATATATGTGTGTGTGTGTGTGTGTGTGTGTGTGTGTGTGTGTCACCTTACCTATATATCAAAAACGTGTGTGTGTATACATATATATATATATGTGTGTGTGTGTGTGTGTGTATATATATATAAATATATATATATGTGTGATATATATATATATACATATATGTATATATATATATATATATGTTTGGGTTGGCTCTATCTTTTTTGGATTGTGTTTTTGTCTGGAAATCCAACGTTAACTTAGGATCTCTAAGGGCCTAAATTTATAAAATTTTCCTACAAAAACCTAATAAAATTTCAAGATAAATTAAAATATAAGATTAAAAGATTCAAGAATTTTAAAACTTATTTTTATTTTCCTGCATGGCATTCAGACCGATTTTAAAATGGGTTGCGTGCATGACTATATCTCAAGTTATACTAATATGGCCCCCACATTATGACTTGAATAAATAATTGTATCATTTGCATGCCTCCATACTTCTCCAACTCGACTGACCCAACATAGATTTCTGCTTCGACGGTTGTCTAGTGTGCAAATATCATTAGTGGCTTCCCCGACCCTGACTGTGAGTAAGTCCTATTATTAAGAGTGGTTCCGACTTTGTAGTTAAACCTTCCTCTTTGTTCTTTTCCAGCAGCATGTTTGATATTTTGGAAGGTACAAGTCTCGCCTCTTAAAGCCCCACCAGATAGTCATATGATATAGTTTTGTTCATTTGATCTTAAGACTACCAAGGTTCCCTTGAACAATGCAATTCTCAATTACTGACAAAGAAGGGTCTCAGGTTGTGTTGGGTCGATTTCCTTCACAACTAGGTAAACTTAGGGACTTAGTGCTTTAGATGACGGGTCTGGGTGCTCGAACTTGGCTACCTCTACTTGTTAGGGATTACTCTTCCCTTCCTATGACTATCCACTTTGAGCCCTATTGCTCCACTTACTGTTGTTGATATCATCTTGACTGACTTATTATTAATGAATTATCGCCCATTTGGGATATGATGAATTGCACTATAGTCTTATGGCCCAAATGTGTTTTGACATATTATGGTTCCCCATCAGAATGATTTGATTATTTCACAGGCTTTATATGTCAATGAATCATTTACCCATGTGGGATCATAAGAGCCTAACTCTTCACCCTGTGGCTTAGTGGAAGCTTTGAAAGCATCAGAGTATTCCCCTGCTAAATAATTGGCATTTGATATCCCTATGTTAGTTGTCACTTTAAATATAAGCAAAACTTTTTGGATCAAGAGTATTATTAGGCAGCCTCCAAGATATAATTAACTAAGTGGGATGCGTCCTCTTAGAAGTACTTTGGACCTCTTAATAGGAAAACACATTTGAATCTTTGGTTGTGGGTATATTTCGTAGGCATTCTTTCGCAGTTATTTAACACAAGCTATTTTGGTCTGATCTTATTCAGACATATATGCTTGACTTGTCTGGGTGAGGCTTGCATACGAAAGTTCATCACGTTCTTTCTCTTATTTGTCTATCTTTGTCATATGTCCAACTTTTCCGGTTCCTCTCTTCTCCTAATCACTCACATGATCAGGAATAGATATGAATTGGTGTATTATCTTTACAATGACAAAAAAAAAAAATCTTCTAAAATTCAATGTTTTAATTTTTCAGAAAATTTTTTTAATTACAATAATGCAATGTTGGATTTGTCGTGCTCAAGAACATTTTCAAAGAAGCTAATTTTTATAAGATCTATTTTTTTTTATATTAGTACACCAAAAAGAAGAGCACATGCAAAAAAAAAAAAATTCAATTTTTACTAGTATAAAAATCACATATATATAATTCAATTTTGAAAACAACAAAAGGATACATTTAATGGGTTTGTTATTCTTCTGAAAATTTCATAAAAATAGATGAAGTTGTTTTGCATTAAAAAAACTGAATATTTTAACAACCAATTTAATTTCAAAATTCCATTGATATTATCATAATTTCAACATCATGATATGACAAAATAAAGTTCTCCTAAAATAATAGTGATATAATTTTATCATAATTTTTTTTTAGAATTATACATAACACTTGATCATTCATTTAAAAACTAAAATTAAAAAATAAGTAAAAATTGCAAAACACGTATAAAAATAATAAAAAATTTAAAAAATTAAGTTCACTTGAATTGTCAATCTTTTTAGGAACACACCGTTTGGCATGCATCATCTCCATGCTAAGAACATGCCTTCACATAAATCATTATCTCTCACACGACCTACAATGAATTTTAAAATAATTAAGTCCCCTTACACAGAAAATTAAATCATCAAAATAGGATAATTATCTCCAATGTGTCTAAACAATGATAAGCAAGCTATTTTGTGAAGAAAATGAAGGCTCAACTATAAGGTTTGAGAACATCACTAACTATGAATTCAATCCATCTAAATATTGATAGTAACCTCTTTTAATAAAAAGATTGAAACCTTTTGCAAATTATGATAAGAAGTTTTGATGTGATTTTTCTCTTACCTCTAAGTGTATATCAATAATTATGGAAAGAAAGAAAGGTTATATAATTTTCCAAAATTTAAAAATTTTAGGAATTCATTTAATTTTTTAAGTAGGTACTTAAGCAATGATGCCTTTTTTTAAGAAAAAATAATGCATGTTATTTAATATAAATTTTTTATTTGACAAAATGTACTAGATATCAATTCATATAAACCATATGTAAGTAAAATATTTAATTATGTTTTTAAATAATAAAGATTTTATTAGATACAAAAAATAAAAACATAGACTAAAAATACAAGGGATTCAAGCATTTTAAGTGTGCAAGCAGCTACACCACCAATACGTGATGCTGATGATGAATCCAATTTGTTAGATAATTCCTTTTTAGCATTGGGGGAGGGAGGAGTGGTGTTGGGTTAAGCATAAAGCATTAAAACTCAAACTTTAGCAAATTTATTATTGAAATATTTTTATGTAACGAACCCATCAGGACCAAAATTGCTTTGATATGAGTCTAAAAGTCAAATACTTCAAATATTATTAAAAACTTCATAATATCATTTGAGGGGTTAACTTCTTTTTTATATCCTCCATGTTTTGATCAAAGATGGTGTCTCAATGATTATAATCCAATAACATCAATATCACTTAAATCTAATTTCATTAGGATAATTAAACACTTAAAAGTCCAATATAATTTATATAAGATCAATAGAAATCATCCATAGAGTTTGCTTGGTTAAAATAACCAACGTTCTAGTCCAAAAATCTATAAATAGACTTTTCATATAAAGAGGGGACCAAGACCCCATGCTAGAGTTGGAGAGAGCTTTGCTTAAAAAACAATGATGTTGGCAACATCAGTAAACATACCTAATCAACTATTGTCTCCTAGCTATTGTTGCCAAATTATACTCGCCAGCCTACTATTGTCACTTTTTCACATTCACTCAATTGCTACCATTTGACTGCCAAATAATATTATACATGTCATTACTAATAATTTGATACATTTGTCAACACCAACACAAACTATCATTAATAAAGTTGATGTACATCATTAACACAATTGTTGATGCACATTATCATTATGGAGGTTGATGCACACTGACAACACTATCATTGATGCTCACTAGTGCCAATAAAGCTAATGTAGATTATCAACTCTAACCTTAATGTATATGCCAACAGGGTTGGTGTATATAGTGATACAATCCATTGACAAGAAGACCAATGTACACCATAAGCATTGATCTTATTGCTTTACATTATTTAGAAGATTGATGCTCACTATTGCCAATAAAGCTAATGTAGACTATCAACTCTAACCTTAATATCTGTGCCAACAAAATTTGGTGTCTATATTGATACAATCCATTGACAAAAAGGCCAATGTATATCATAAACATTAATCTTATTGCTTTACATTGTTTAGAAGATTAATGAACACTTTTAAAACTAAAATCTATACAAGCCATCATTAATAAGTTGATTAACATCGTTGATGCTGAGATCAATGCATAGCATAACCAATGTATGTTGTCATCACAAAGGTTAATGCATCATTCCCAACAGGATGTTGATACCAACATTAAATCATATTATCATATATAAAGTCAGCCATGTTATCTATACTAACATTGATGCACACCACCACCAACAAGATGATGCATGTCACCATACAAATGTTGACAAGTGTCATCATTAGCAAGGTCGACACTCACCTTCGACTTTAAACTTGACATTTACTATTGTAACCAATGTTGTTGCACGCCATTGGCTTTGATATATGCCATTATCAACATTAATTGATACCCAACAACAATAATGAAGTGAATGCTTGATATTGACACCAAGAATTATGTTGATTTTTTGGTATGTAGTTTTCCCTCGTGTTAAGAGAATGTCTACATAAACTGTCTGCTAAAGATAACTCAAATATCAAAAGGCTATTACTGCTTCCATCATGGAAGCAATCATTTCATAATTCATGTTTACTATATCATATTAATGACTTTCCCAATTAGTTGAAATAACTTCAATTATAACATACAATATACACTAAGGTAATTATTTCAACTAAACTAAACTTTTGTTTCTCTTCTTTAAGTTTTTCATGTAAAAATCTTATCTTCTATGAGCTGCTATTGAGTTATTTTTGTGCGTGATGGATAATCATATAAAACTAAATTGATAAATTCTCTTTATTAACATAAAAATTCCAATACAGGACAATAATACTATAGTACTTATTTAATAATGCTTTTTAATTTACAATTAATTAAAAATAAAAGCACTCATTTATTAATTATTGAATGCTAATCAAAATCAATAACCAAATAATTTGAAAAAAAACAATGATTGGACTTTTGTGCACGTTATCAAAATATAGGAATACCTTGCTCATGTGACAAGTGCTCACATTAAATTTCCATCACTTAATTATGATGATGAAAATATCATTTTGATTATAAATTTAAAATATTTAAAATATGTTGGCCCTTTTTAAAAAATAATCATTAACTCCATTTATTTGGGTGATTTAAATGCATAACTTTCACCAAAAATACCTTTTGATTTAAATGGAGCTTTTATAATCTAAATAAATAAATAAATAAATAATATTTGTTCTGAATGCAATTACATATTTAACACTCGAAATACTGCTATTTAGAAAACTAGCACTCTATATATCATTCATTTTTCAAATCCTTACTTAAATATTAAAATTTGCACTAAAATATTAGCCCATAAATTTCATTTTTTTGTTAAGTTGCTGTGATTTTGAAATGACTTTTGCTAGTTTTATAAATGATAATATTTTAAATGCTATTTATATAATCATCCCTTCAAAGTTAGCTAAAATCAAAATATTTAGTAGATGAATCATGTGTTTTGAAGAAACAAAGTTGAGAAAAGCGACAGCAAATGGGGCCCACTAACCAAAAAAAATAAAAAACAAAAAAAATGAGTTGACCACTTTTTCTTTTAAGTATTTTTAAAAAGTAGGCATCGACATGCAATTATTATCATTTATTTGGCTTTTTTTTTATAATTATTTTAATAATAAATATCTAGGTGATGTACCAGGTTGAAGACAAGTCTAGAGCCATCGGAGCCGGTAATCGTAGATCGAGCTGCCTACTTCGCCGCTGCAGATCATTCCCCGACCTCGTGGTCGCATCAATCCCGACCAGTCATCTTCCTCGGGCCCCCGCTTCTCCTGTTGATATCTTTCTTTCGTTCCACAACTGCTTACCCTTCACCTAATTCCAGGAGGGAAGTCGAAGTAACAGAAGTCGATAAACGAGGAGACGGAGACGGAAGGAAAAGCGATTCTTCTGTCAATCGCTTTTCCTCTTCGCATTATCTTGTTTCGCTCATATCTTTTCTGTACTCCTGATCGCGCTCTTGTTTTGTTGAAATCGGCTGAGGTAGTCCCTTCATTCTTCTTCTATTTGATTTCATTGTTTTTTTATTCCAGTTGGGTGATTAGAACTGTAAATATGAATCTGATTTCTTAGTAAAATGTGGTTCTGGAAGTTTTATGCTGTTTTATTGGCCTGAGATACTGAACATTGATTTATCGTGATTGACAATGGTAAAGGGATATTCTTTTCAAATATTCAAACAGTTTTTTATTATTTGAGGGTTTCCGTGGATGTATTTTACGTGTTAACGATTCAATGTGTAAAGGATGAGTAGAATTAATGGCACGCTCTTAAGAGTCTCTTTTTGCAGTTATGAAGTTAAATGGATAAGAATACAAGATTGAATTTGAAACTTGGTTCTTTGATTATTTGCTGACAAGAAAATATTTATGCTAAATGAAATTGCCAATTTAATGAATAACATTTAAATCAGAAAAAGTGTGACATGACCTTATCTTGATTCCTCGCGCCTGTGCATTAGTTTTGAGAGGTTTTTTCATATTTACCACCTAAATCTTACTGTATTACGTGTTTCATGACCAATTCTTGACCAGTCTACTTATAATTATCAATAACCAGAAATTATGAAGAGTTGATTGTGAAATATATCATTTATGAAAATTTGGATGCTGCTAACCTAACATGATTGGCATGGTTTGTTTAAAAATAGAATGATTCAGTATATTTTCATGTATGCTTTTAAGAGCAGAATATATAAACTTTTCAGCCTTTTAGCTTAACTGCTTCATTGATTGTGATTCTTTCATTTGGTGCATAGTTATTCAAGATGGTTTTTCATATTGTATGACACGAGCATTATGAAATTGGCATGACAATGCAACATTTAAATCAATGATTTGAGCTGGGAATGGATTGGGTTATGTTTAAAGTTGAATCTTCTTAGGTTATTGATGGGTATTTCCTGAAAGAAAATGTTACAACAAGGGCATAATGTGAATCTTTTGGCCATTTTTGGAGTTTTGCAAATGCATAGACAGCTTGGAGATCCCGATGCATGATAAAAAAGATTATTAAATCAATGATGCATTGGTTGAGTCTCAAGTAGGAAGGGTGCCTCAAATGTTGAAGTTGGGTGTCGATAAATAAAATGTGATTTTGATGTGTAGTAGAATCAATAAAAATGATTCATTAAATGACCATAGCATCCATTAGGTATATTGTGATAGTCAATTCAGACTTCAGATATGTATATGTCAAAAGCAATGGAAGCACCACTTGTTAAATGCATGGGGATTTAGGGGTGATGTATTTCGTGAAAAGGCTAGGAAGTAAAATGATCATCGCCTACACGGAAAATAGGGAAAGGATCGTAACTTGCCAAACAGGGGAAAGTCAAGAGCAAGATTCGTATACTCGGTAAAACAGGCAATGAAGGAAATGTCCTTCTTTGCTAGCACTTTATTGCCCATGGGAAAAAGCCACCCCAAAAGCTAGAGTCCCTCAGCTTATATAACAAACAGAAAAAAAACATTTACCCAAAGGACCCTTAATAGGCCATTAATTGAATCCACCAATGCTGCATTATTCTCCCCATGGCAAAGGGCACAACTCCAGATGAGAAACCTGTGACTCTTCATGGGTATTATTGCTTATATGGGGAATGAAGTGTTTAAAATTGAAGACATCTGAAGTATGAATATGAGATGGCAGTTGCAAATGATAAACATTCAGATTCAGCTTCTTGGTGACTTTCAAAGGTCTTTTTATGCATGAAAGCAGTTTATTATGTTCATGTGTTGAGGAGTGAACTTTGAACATAATTGCCCACCAACTTCTAACTCTAGGTGATGTTTTTTGTTTGCCATGGCTTTGTATAGTGGTGTAAGATTACAGGGAGGATGGTAGATCAGAGGGAGTTCAACAGCCCTGTGTAAGATCAAACTTAGCCGAATTGTAATCTCTATTGAAGTTTATTTTTCTCCTAATTAGCGTGGGCAACTTGTTGACTTTAGGAGATAGTTCACTTATTGTTCTTTGCCGTTTTTTTTAAAAAAAAGAGGCAAAGAACAATAAGCGAATTGCCTTTTTTTAGGAGTTTAATTTGCTACCTTCTTTGTTTTGTGTGAACTGAGGTGACTTTTAAACAAATGTTTCTTCATTCCCTTTCCTCTCCGCTCCTCATTGATTTGAACTGCACTTTGAGGGAGGCAAGTTCAAGCCCGGCCAAAAATTGGAGGAAATATTTTTACTTCTTTAATTCTCTGTCTCTGGTCACCTACTCAACAACCTTTTGCTTGGCAACTCTCTGTTTGATAACTGCTCTTTTGGTTGCAGGGACAATAGTTGTCGGCTTCTCTTCCTATGTCTCTTTATCCTCTTCTTGAATTTTAAAGGAATCAAGAGGCTCTTAGTAAAAATTGGATTCATTGTTATTGGTGAAGCAAATAGTGGAATTTGTCTTTACCGTTGAAGCTTCCCATTTAGATCCCTCATTTCTCATAAAATCTTCGTTGTCTCTAGCTTCTTTAATATCAACATCAGGAAACTCGACAACTTTTTCCCGAGGAGGACCTTGATCAATAAGAGCTATTAAAATTGAAAGTAAGATATTAAAACTGTAGTTGGGAAACTTAGCATGTGTCAACAACAAAATGAATGAATTAAAAAAGGGTGAATGCATTTACTAGATAATATTTTTTTAAAGATAATGATGATAAAAAAGCCTTCACTTTGAGCTCTAACTTGCTCAGTGGTTGAAGTGTTGGGATTCAGTTTCACGTAAAGATAGCACATGAGCCCTATTCACAGGAAAGTGTAATAGTTTAGTGGAGTTTAGCCACTTGTTCTTTGATTAAAAAATAGTGAATTTGTATGCCCTTATTTCATTCTCCAGATAACCATCTTATACTGATGAAGAAAACATCATGATCCCATCATAATATGCCATAGTGGTGAAGATATGGTGGAATAATTTCATTTACTTGTTGCTTCCTCACGTAAAGAACCAAAGATATTGTGCTCAGGAGTTCAACATCATCTTACACCATAGAAATTAAATATGTGAATCAATTTTTGACAGAGGAGGAACCTACGCCTGAGTCGAAATTAGTCCTGATAACAGCATGACTCATTCCTATAAATGATGTTCGATGCTCGCTTTTCTTAGCAGCCCATGGCTGGTAGGAATAGTGAAACCCCATTTCATCTGGACCATATTCAAATTCACTCTTGAAAACTCATTTTAGCATGCAAGAAGGTTTCACTACTCTTCAGGAAAAGCGAACTGATTAAATGCAAAAGAATTAAAGCGAAGAGCTCAAAGAAGAAGATGAAGGGAGTAAAAACGAGAGAATGCTTGAGCTGAGTTGTTCAGAAGTTTTGAAAAAAATCTCCTAACTACCTCTTTATAGAGAGCTGCTAGTGAGCTGATCGAAGCAAGTAGCGTTGCCATTATGGCGTGGCTTTTACAATATGAGATTTTAAATTTAAAATATATTTTAAAGATTTTCAAACATTATGCTTTTTAGAGGAAATACCATCTTGTCATTGCAATTAATGCATCTCTCATTGGACAAAATAAAATTAAATTGGTGAATTAACAAGTACATAAATTGAATTGCTGTTTTTAATTTGATATTATATGGGGAGACTTGAGTTAGTCCCCCCAAAGAAAGAAAGGTAGAAAAGACAATTTTAAAGCAAGACTTCTCAATGTTCATTAAGCACTTCAACACAAACTCACCACCAACAAGAAATTGGTTTGACCGGATAGATTATATATACTTCTGACTTGCTACCACTTGAGCATTAAGTAAAACGACTTTTCACAGGAGAGTCGTAGTCTTCGGCAAAAGAATTTTTCAACTCAATCAGTTACTTGTTGAGTTTGGCTTCATCTCCTTCCATAGTTAACTTTAAAGCGTTGACCTTAGGATAGCTTGTCTAATGTCATCCATAATGTTGCACCTACAACCACTTTTTTGGTACTTGAAGTTGTAGTTTTAAGTATATTTATTACACTCAAAAGTGGAAGTCATCATCAAATATCAACCAGTGGGGTATTCAGTGGAGTCCTTGTTCTTACACCAGTGATGACCTAGGCTAGAGTTCTCCTCTCATTTTCAAAATCCGATGCATCTACATCTATCAGTTCAACAGAAGGCTCAGCAGTTTTGTCCAGTATATCCAAAACATGAGTAGACTCTACTTCAGGGAGAGCAAGAGCTTGAGTTGCTTCATCTATTTCTCTTTGTAGCAACATCTAGACAAGTAATTTGGTTGACAAGTGTTTCAACACCGAAAATTTCACTTAAATGCAAACAAAACTATCAAAATAATTTCTTAATTTTTTCTTCATATTAACTAAATGTCAAGGAAAAATAAGATACTAACCTTATATTCCATAATACGTTTATGCATGAAAGAAAAGTTTACTTACCCTTGAACTCATTGGAGACTGGCCTAGGAGTAGGCCGATTTGTTGGTAACTTAGTATGATTGGTGAAGCCCCTAGATTTGAGCATCTATTCTAAATTTTGGGAACTCTTATCTTCTTTTTTTCTTTTCACAAGAACTTTTTCATCTCATTTTCACTTGTCGAACAACTTGGCAATTAAACTCTCTTTTGCAATGTTAATTTTGTCCTTTCGAATTTCATTATTTTGCAATAATAAAGATTTATAAAACAAAAATCAAGTATAAAATGCGATCTTTACATAATATTGAACTCATATTTATTGAGCAGTGGCACGAATATGAATATGGCCACATCATTCCAATCGTTGATCGCGCATCTTAAATAATTATTAATCAAATCTCTTATTCTTTCTTTGTATATTTGCAAAGTGAAGAGGATTAACGAACTAAATATTTATGATTAAAATTTGATAACTCAGTCCAAGTCTATATTCACACATGATTAGCTTAGCTTCAGAATCAAGTCAGGTTTATCTAAAGGTCATGCCAGCTAATTGGGCAAAATCGACTAGTCCACTCGACAACCAGATCAATTATAACTCGCTAGCTCAACGACACGAACATGAAAAATCATCAAGTTAACTACTTTACCATAGATATTCGTCAGGGTGACAACTCAGCTATGGCCACTCTTCAATTTGCAACTTAGATGAAAACTCATTAGCGCATAAGCTCTACTAAGGCTACTCATAAAGTTGGCATGCGCTAAACAATGTTCGGGTAGTCAAGCTATGGTTCCAAGCTTGGCGACCTATAAGACCACAAGATGAGCTACATTTTTGTTTTTATTTGTCCTTTTTATCGATAGCCTATTACGTAACGTACTCAATACCGATCCAAATCTATAAATAGAGGGTCAAAGTTGATACTTACACAATTACAGTCCTTGGGCCTAATTACACATTCCTTGTATTTATTTCTTTTGAGTTATTAAATCTAAAAAAATTCTCTACTATTATCTTCTCTCTTTTCTCTATCATTTTGTTTTTCTTTATCTAGGAATACACTTTTCTAAGTAGTGTGATTTTACGGACATTTTGGGATTTAACGTCAATATTTAAATATATATTAAATTTATATATATTTTAATGATAGTAAGCAAAGTCCAATTTAAATGCTGATGGACCCGTTCAGATCGTCTCAATGATTTGAATGCACTCACACAATCCATTCTTTGTAACGATGTTGCGATCAAATTTTGTTTGGTGTCTGAAAACTTCATCTAAATGAAACTCTATATGCACAAAACCATGTGAAGCTCTGATAAATCATTGTCAAACTAGGTGCATGCCTCCCCAAATATAATGATGAACATGATGTGAATCATGGAATTCAATTTTAAGCACAATGACAAACCGGAATGACCACTAGTGCCTTAACATTTCATCATGTGTGGTCTTGCAAAGTACACGTAAATTGGAACTGCGTAATGATTCACAAGTCTAAAGATGTTTGTAATCAACATAGGACTATCCTACAGAATTAATAGATGACATTTGCTGAAAACAATCTCAACAGTGGCAGGAGCAGTATTTACATGCAGGTAGAATGGGTAGTGGAGGAAATGTCCTTTCTGCGAACACTTCAATGCTCATGGAAAGACAAATCAACAACCACCATAAATATAAGAGTTTCTCAGCTTATATAGCAAACAAGAAAATAATACTTACACAAAAAACCCTCCTGGCCATAAATTGGATCTGCCAATGCTACCTCAGAAAAGAAGAAGACCCCAGCATGCTTGGTTCAATATTGTTCAGAAACAATTCAGAATCTAAATTCAGTTATGTGGCTGTAAGAAGAATGGATTTCTTGCATCTGAGGTTTCATAAACGTGATCTTTAGGTATGCTACTTCTGACAATGATATATATTGTTTGAGCTGTGAGGAATATTTATTCAATTAGGAAATTTAACAGAAGCATACCATGGCAGTCTGCCTTCATTTATTAACACTCTATAGCTTTCAAGCTTAATCAATTGTTTCAATTAAAATTTAATTGATTTTAATTCCTAATAAACATGTGAAATGTTGCATACATCTTTATGATCCAATTTGAGAATGTTGAGATTATCAAAATAATTTAATTTATTGTGTAGAAATAACACCTATAAGAACTGTATTTTCTTGTCGCAGGAGCAACTCATTTTTTCATCATGTCCAACTCTATTTTCACGAAACTATTGCTGGCTATTGCTGTGTGGTGCATAGCATATGTTGCTGCCGCCTTAGTGTTCTCTGTTCGATTCTTCACCGGGCATGGTGCTACCAGCATGAACTAGTTAAGCATTCCGAGCAATGGCTAGGTGATGCTTTTTTTCTTCATGATGGAACCACTAAAGTGAATGTTGATGCTTCGACCTCAATTCTTTACTTTCTTACTATATACGGTAAAAATAGTCCTACTTTGTATCTTCCAGAAAGATAATAATAATAAGGGTTATTTATTATCACTATCTTTTTAAAAGTAAAATACACACTTTCATGCATTGCTTTATGACACCGAGCTGTTATAAGTGTAAATATCAAACTTTGGGTGTTAGTTAGGTAAATATATAAGAATTGTGTGATATTTTTGTAAATTTCCCTAATAATAGTAAAAATGCTCCTGTTGAAGAGGAAGACACATGCTGCCAACTCCATGAGGATGGTCTGTTGCTTTTGTCATACTATGTATGACTACAGTTTCTAGCTAATTGCTTGCTCAAGAGTTTTTTCTGTTTATTTTTAAATTTTGCGCAACTGAGGATGAAGGTGCCGACAACCTTTGAAAGCTGTTAAGAATTATAATAGGAAATAATTTATTTCTATAAGAAGTTATGAGGAATAAATTAGTTCCTTAATATAAGAAGATATTTCCTTAGATTAAGAATTATTTGGTTTTCTATTTTATGTTATTTCATATATCTCCTAATAATTATTATGAATTAATTATTGGAGATATTATCTGATATATCTTTTCTTTCATATAATTTTTTTTTTATTATTCATATTATATAGTTCTTGTAAGGGTTATTATGCCCTCGTTCATATCAATAAAATAATGGAGTATTCCACTTTAGTCCGCATTATTCTGAAATTTCAACATGGTATCAGAACAAGATTTCGTAATTTAGCCGCAACCCTCCTTTGAGAATTGTTGGACTCCCTTCCTGTCATCCTCTGTGCAGGAAGGGAGTGACACTCGTTAGTTTACAGAAGCCATGGAAAGTATCACAAAGATGCACTCCCATAGTTCGATCTCGATGCTGCCTTGGAGTTCGAACCAGAGGCGCTATCCCTATCGCCGTCTCTAGGTCTGCACATCGGCATCAACCTCAGCAGCATAGTCGTCAAGACTCCGCCTACCTATACAGCTAATGCATTGCAAGCTAGATTGCGATCAGAGACTCCTTCAGTCAACATACCGCAACCGATGATGGGGAAAAAACCATCTGCATAACACTCCTAACTTTTCAGATCCGACTAGAAGCTTGTTGCCATGACCATCGCCTAGAAATGCACGGGCTGATGTTTTGGAGGATTCTCGATTCTCCATTCTCCTTCTCCGAGGTCTTTCAGAAAGTTGGGGGATCTAACTTCGCTTCTATACACGACTCCCAAGAAACCATGACAACAAAATTGCTTTGGAGTTTGGCCAGACATCACTACAAACCAAAAAAAAAAAAAAAACTTTGTGTTGTATCTTTCAATGCCTGCACCATTGATGGGGCTCCAGCCAGGGCGACACCAGCGATGCCGCCACCCGCCTCATCATCATCCCGCCGGAGATATCGCTGTCGTGGATCGAACAATGCCGAAAAAATCCATCGCCGACCCTTCCTCTTGCAGTATTTTTTTATTCCCTGTCAAAGCATCAGGGCTCCTGCAATATCTTTCTTCTCTGCCAAAGCGTCAGGCGAAGCTGCGTTTCCGGCCGATCATTTCTCCTGCCGCATTTTTTTCTTCCTTTCCCAAGCGTCAGGGAGAGCTGCGTTTCCAGCCAACCATTTCTCCTGCAGTTGTCCCTTTCCCTGCAAAACTCAAAATACAGCAAAGCTTGAATCCAACAAATTCAGCCAAATCTGAATCTCTTTTCTACATTGAAACATATGACAGACAAACTGAAAATTCAACCAAGCCTGAATCTATCCGAATCTAGCAAATTCAATAATCAAAACGACCAATTTTTCTTCACTACTCAGTAAGTTAGGAATTATTAACATACATTCCAAACTTGAGGGGGAGTGTTAAGAATTATAATAGGAAATACTTTATTCCTATAAGAAGTTATGAGGAATAAATTAGTTCCTTAATATAAGGAGATATTTCCTTTCCTATTTTATATTTATTTACTTACATTAAGAATTATTTGGTTTCTTATTTTATGTTATTTCATATATCTACTAATAATTAATATGAATTAATTATTGGAGATATTATTTGATATATATTTCCTTTCATATAATTTCTTTTTTATTATTCCTATTATAGAGTTTTTGTAAGGGTTATTATGCCCTCGGTCATATCAATAAAATAATGGAGTATTTCACTTTATTCCGCATTATTCTGAAATTTCAATAAAAGCTACAAACTGCATGAAAAACTCTATTATAATTGAATCATCACCTCTGATACTAGTTCTTAGCAGAGTAACTGAAAGAGAGATCGATGTTTGACTTGATACATCCATGATCAAATCATTTCAACCAAAAACTCAAGTCTAATAGTCGAATCATCAGTATTCCAATATAACAATATTTTTAAATATTCTAATTTTAATTCTATCATGTTATCATGTTCTTTAACACATATAATTACAGTTAATTCTCAGATTCTCAGATTTAATCATCTCAGAGTTAGCAGCTTGCAAATCCTACAAAAATATGGTTCATGACTGACCCTCTTTTGAATTGTGGAAAGCCTGCGCTATTGCGTCAGCAAGTTTAACATAACTTCCCTAAATCTAATTTTGTTATTCCTATTATTCTGTAAATGTTGTATTGGATGAATATAACTGATCTGTAGAATTCATTCGATGCATTTTCGCCTGGATATTTAACAACTATTGTTGATTTTACACTTTTGTGAGCAACTTTATAGTCCTAACAATTCCTTTTTACAGGAAGATTTCATCAAGCATCACGAGTGTCATCTGTTATGCACTTACATTTCAATTTACTGTTCTTTTCTTTGTTTGGATAATGCAGATATTGTTCTAAATGCTTGCTAAAATGAAGTTTGAATGTGTAGGAATTTTAAGCATAAATGTATTTCTTAGAGTTTGTTTTATCTATAAGAATAGTGGATCTTAGGCTCCATTTGACACAGCTGTGTGAAATTAATATGTTTTGACATAAGTTTATTGGATATTCCAAAATTTTTTTCTATTACTCATGAAATACTAGAAAATGCATAAATGTAAAGGGTAAATCTCTCTTTTGCTTGGATCTTTTTAACAGATGGGCAGATTAATAGCAAAGATGAATTTTTTACAATCTGAAACTTCAAATCTATTGGAAATCTCAAGTGTTAGATATATAAATACAAAGGAAATGGGTGTTATGTATGAAGATGCCCCTAAATAAGTTACATCACTCATTAAATGTAAATTAATACTCCTAAATTAACATTTTCTTATGTTAAAATGCATGTATTATATTAAGACGAAAAAGAAAGGAAAAAATATTACATCAGTAGTACGCACGTAGAGTAACGTGTGTGGCCAATGAAATCACGCCACGATACCCCGCACAATACAGAAAAAAAAACGACGCAGTAACACGAGGAATATTCCCCCCCCCCGTTGTTATTCATGTGTTATTGTGTGTTATTCATGCGTTATTGTGTTCTGTGAATATTCCTGGTGTTATAATAACACAATAACACATGAATAACACATGAATAACACACAATAACACAAGAATAACACGGGAGAAAATATTCCCCCGTGTTACTGCGCCGTTTTTTACTCTGTCGGGCATATTTGGAAATATCCACGACAGAGAAAAAAACGGCGCAGTAACACGGGGGAATATTTTCTCCCGTGTTATTCTTGTGTTATTGTGTGTTATTCATGTGTTATTGTGTCATGAGAATATTCTTGGTGTTATAATAACACAATAATACATCAATAACACATGAATAACACACAATAACACATGAATAACGTGCAATAACACAGGGGGAATATTCCCCGTGTTACTGCGCTGTTTTTTTTGCTCTGTTGCGCGAGATGTCGTGGTGTGATTTGATTGGGTATGCACGTTATTTTTACGTGCGTAGTATTATGTAATATTTTTTCAAAAGAAAGCGATTTAAACCTTTTAAACTTACAATATGACTGTTTTAGTTCATTGAGTTTTGCATAGGAAAATTGTTTCTAGCAGTGTTAATAAAAGCTCGATGTTTGTGAATAAAAATGTTTAATTTTTGACCGACATGTCACACATAAACAAGAAACAACTCAATTATGCTTGGATAAAAAATACAATATATTTATAATGTTAGACTCCTATCATTTTATGAGGAAAATCAATTCTCCACAAGTACTTTTGATGCAAAATTGTGATTATGGAAGCTGGATCTACGATCTAAGAACAGTTTGGTGGTCTATTTTTAATTTTTTGTGGATATGAAATTTTGATTGTTGAATGAAATTAATGAAAAATTAAATGAATTATTATATATTTAAATGTCCAAAACAAAAAAAAAATTATATTTATTTATATTATATTAAAATATCTAAATTGTATTAAAAATGACATTAATATTAAGTTATCTAAAATAAAATATATTTATTCGAGCTTATATTTGGATATGATTTATAATGTTAACATCTAAGTTTAGATACTAAGTATATAAACCTATTATTATATTATATTTAAATTAAAAAAATTCCCACAACAACGTTTTCAGCCGATCGCTGCCCCCGCTCGACTCCAGGGAAGCCTCCACTCCGAGCTGTTCATTTCTGCTAACGCCATCACCGGCGATGTCGGATCACCACGCCGGTGGCTCGGCATCCAATCACTCCCTCGCCTTCCGTGTAATGAGGCTTTGCCGGCCATCATTCCAGGCGGAGGACAGCGTTTTTCGCCTTGACCCCTTCGATCTCCTCGCCGGAGAGGATCTCTTCAGCAACCCCCACGTATCCTCCACCATCATTGAACAAGCCGTCCACCGCCCAAATTCATTGAATGCCGGCGAAGGAGGAGATGATTTCAGCTTCCGCGGCCGATTCGAGCTTCAGGACCCTAGCGATGCTATAGGCCTACCCGGATTCCTTATTCTTCCTCAGTCCTTTGGGTCCGATTGAATGCCCTACTTTTTATTTTCCTTTACGATATTCGTTGTTCGTCTCAGCATTACTTTTCGTTTGCAGTGCAATATATCTCGGAGAGACCTTCTGCAGTTACATTAGCATTAACAACAGCTCCAAATTTGAGGCAAGGGATGTAGTTATTAAGGTAATATTCTTTGTTTGCTGCTATTCTCCTTATGTACAGTAATGTTAACGTCTAGTCGTCGTTTAATTTGTTTCAACGGATAATTTCAGTGATTAATTCGTAACGTAAATATTAGCGTCTCTAAGAACACTCGGAAACCCCAAATATAATCTATTTTTAGTATCTTATTTCTACATTAAGATGGTTTATGCATTGATTTAGATTTTCACAGAGCCACTATGGGTTGTCATTTTTATGCTGTGGCCTCTCAATTGTGGTATCAAGGATGTGGTTGTTGATGAATACAAAACCAGTAAAATAAAGAAGTGAGTTAGGTTGGATTGGAAATCTAAAATGTTTTTTCATAAGATGATTGGAGCTTGGAAGTATACAATGGGTTTATGGAGGCATGTTCGTGGAGAGGATAAACAAGCATGTTATAGGGTTCATCTAAGTAGTTTCTGATGGGAAATATTATATTAGCAGCGTTGGATGGTTGTGATGTTAATGAAAGGTATAGACAGAGCGGTTTTGGTAAGCCACGATGATCAATGCATGTTGAAACATTAGGAAAAGAATAGCGGTAACATTTTCTTTTGTGGAGCAGTTAGAGCTGCATTGTTTAAAATTTGAGCTATGAAGGTTTGCTAGAAAGCCATCATGAGTATTCCTCTGAGGGATATTGGTGATAACGAAGCTGAGAGTAGAAAATAGAACTAAAACTTTATGGTAAAACGAATGAAAAATTGCTCAGAAATTTTGATTCAAGAGTAGGGGCAACATTAATTTGGGGATGTACAGTGGAGATGATATTTCTGTTATGAAATACTGAAGAAGAATGCAGTATATTTAACCTTAAATGCTTTTAACTGTATAGTTCATATTGGAACCCATTATCTGAATATTATGATTTATAATACAACTTAAAATCACTTTTTGGAGAAATGCTTGGTGTCAACATGGTTCATTAGAACCTCTTAACTTATATTATCAGTTGGTGTTTGTTTAGTGGCCTTTTGAACTTAATAATGGTAGCCTAAGGAAAGCAGCATGATTAACCTAGCCAAATGAAGTGGTAGAGAATGACTGGTGGAAAATTATCTTTATCATGAACTTAGATTATTAAATGCAGTAGGAAATCAGAGAAATAATTCTCCATAAGTGTTTCGGATTTAAGAAACTAATTGAGATAGTGGAGGTAATGATGGTTCTGCTGTTTCTTTGAAAGTTATGTGAAATATAGATTTTTAACATGTAATTGTTTCAACTTCCATGTATCGTCTCTTATTATTCTAGGACTAACAATGATATTTTGGACATAAAGGTTGTCTACTAAGACCTTTGCAGTAGCAGGAGTAAGATACTCAATAATTGAACTGTTATATTTTTAGTTTGATTGCCGAGTTCAGAGGAAACCCAACACTTGGAATGACGTCTTTCGCCTAGCAACAATTTCTGGTGGTGCCTGATGCCAATGGGAGACACTTAGGCTCCCAACACCATGCTTTCGGGACAGAGCCTTTCGAATTTTTTTTGCCCAGAAGGGGCATAATCTCACCTAGATTGTTCTTCAAACCACAACGCATAGAAACACAGTCCCCGGGGGTGGTACCTAAGTGTTTGGAACTGAATTTTTGCAGGCCAGTGTTTAAATTATGTTTTTGCTAAGGATATGGAAGCGTTCGTGTCAAAGGCTTTGGATTTTGTGATTTTTCTTTGTTGTTAGAGAGAAGAATGTAGTCTCCTTGAGTTTCAAAGCTGTAGAGAGGCTTTAGTGTGGTATAATATATACATTTCTTCCTGCTTTTTCATAGTAAATTTCATAGTGTGGTGTGATTTGATGATTTTTTTTTTCATTTTTTGTGTTTTTTCATGTTCAACCTTGGTGTTTTTATAATTTTTTGTGATTTCTTGCTTGTGCACTTCTATTCGAAGTTTTGCTTCAAATTTCTTGAAAGACATTTTCACATTTCAATGCATTTCTGTCACCACAACAGTGGTATCAGAGCGGGGTTTTCTGAAGATTTTTGATTTGAGTGGGAGCAATGACTAATGAAGCGAGGTAAAAGGTGGAGAAATTCAACAATTTGAACTTTGCTTTTTAAAAAGTACAAATTGAAGATTTATTGTTTCAAAAGAAACTGTATTTGCCACTGGAACATATCACTAAGAAGCTAAAATCGATTACTCTAGAAGAATGGGAAGTTCTTGATCGAATAATACTTGATTTGTTTCTTCTTTCACTTTGTTTCTCTGCCGCTTTCAATATTGATTTGATCTTCTTACCATACTAATAAGAATGTATGAGAAGCTTTTAAATTCAAAGAAAGTCTTTATGATGAAGAAATTATTCAAAAATGAAGATGATGGATGACAGTTCAGTAGTTGAGCACTTGAATAGCTTTAATACTGTGACTAATCAGTTGCGCTCTGCTGGCATCAAGTTTGATGACGAGGTCAGACTATTATTACTTTTATCTTCATTGCCAGACAGTTGGGATGGACTAGTTAATATGGCAAGTAACTCTTCTGGTAAAATGAAGTTAAACTTTGATGACATTGCGGGTTTAGTGCTGAATGTAGAAGTTCACAAGAAGGTGAGCGGTGAAACTTCAAATTGTATTTTGAATGTTGAAAATAGAGGAAAGAATCTGGATAGAAACACTGATAGAGAAATATTCAATTTCAGGAGAGGAAAGTTTAGGTCAGAGAGAGAAAAAAGGCAGAAGTGAGTGCTGGAACTTTGGGAAAAATGCCACTTCTCCTAAGAATGTTGGTGGTGGAGGTTCACATCGAATGTTCTCTACAAATGTTTTTACAAATGAAATTCAATGTGACTCTTATTTGTCCCTAGATAGTACTAAATCATGGGTAGTGGATTCATGTACTTTTTTTATATTTGCCTCAAAAAGAGGTGTATAAAAGCTACTCTCAAGGTGATTTAGGGAAGGTGTATTTGAGAGACAACAAAGCTCTCAGTATTGTTGGAAATGGTGATATTGATATCAGGTTGTCAAATGGATCAGTCTAGAAACTCAATGAAGTTAGACATGCTCCATGTTTGAAGTGAAATTTGATTTCTGTGAGTCAGCTTTTAAGGTCAGAGTATATGATTACTTTTATAGCTGATTTGCTGGAGATGACCAAAGGAGCAATGATCATGACTTGAGTCAACTGTCGGTCGCAAAATTGTGAAAGTCTATTTAATTTAATATTTATATTATAATTTTGAAAAGTAATAGTTTAATTTTGAAAGTATGAGACCGAATCGATCTCATATAGACAATAGTTTAAATAAATGAGCATAACACTACAAGTGGTATACACAAGCAATATATCTATCCCGAGGAATATATACATTACCTACTAGTGAAGCTCGATTAAATAAACTAAATAATTTATGAAGTTCGTTTTGGTCTGCAAAATCATTTATGTTAACCGACAAATTTTTCGTATATAATGTTAAATATTAGACAGTTTATATTAAGCTGGGTTCTAAAGTTTTCTATAAGGATAAAAAACACGAAATTCAGATAGCTAAAGTAAGAGTTTTCTATAATTAGGAGCTTCCTCATTTAAATTATTTTCAATATCTTTATTCTGATTTATTTCCCTTTTAGCTGAATATTTAGATCAAGAATATAGATTATTAAGTTATATAAAATAGATTATACAGAATATTTTGTATCTAAAATAGATTGTAAGATTATTATTTAATAGAGTGAAAGCAAAGGGAAAAGGCATCAAACCTATTCAGAATTCAGCCTATTTTTTCTCAAAAATTTGACATGGTATCAGAGCTAAATTATTGCCCTAACCACCGATAGTCGTCGGAGGACCGTCAAGACTCCCTTCCTGCTGGTCTTCTTGCGGGATGAGAAGTGAGGAACTATTTCTTTGCCTTGATTCTCGCTCGGTTGCTTTGTCTAAAACCCTCGTCTGCGTCGATCGACTTCAGCGGCTTCGACTTGACTGTTCACTTACTCGTTTGGGCCTCTAGAGACGACCGTGGTTGGCTGTGTGAGCTCCGGGCTCCGAGTAGTCGCCTCAGGAGAGAACCTTTGGCGCAATTTCTGTATCTCTGACTTCGATCTCCCATCGCCTGAGGATCACCCTGCAAACCATTCCTTGTTTAATTATATCTTCATTATTCCTTTTCCCGCTGCTACCACTGTCACAGTGAGTCGCAGCGACCTCCAGTGCTCTCCCACGACAAAGGCATTGAATTCGGCGTCGTCGTTCATTGGTCTTTCGATTTGCTGCTAGCTTCGGGAGGCATTGGGAACAACGGCGGTAATCTCTCCGAAACTATGAGCAATTTTGCTTACATGCATTGCTCTAATTACACCCTCTTTTCGACTTCTTTCTACCTGAAGATTTCTTCCAGCAAGACAATCTACACCAGAGTTCTATGATTCCTTGTTAGGAGATAACCTTATTTGGGGAGAAAAAGAATGATCTCTTAGGCACCAGGCAAAATTTAGTGAACCAAAAGAAGATCTTCTTAGCGAGTTCTATGAGAATTATTTTGCACCCCAACATTACTGGTATGATGAACACCATGAACTTGTTTTCATTGGCACTCACGACTTCGATATCTCGGCTTCAGCACTTTTGGCGTGAAAATCAGGAAACAAATCATCCTCGTCGTTGCAAGAAGACTCAATAATATTTGAATTGTATAACTGGACGCGGATCTTACTTGTAGGCTATGATCAATAACATCTGGATCGTGTAATTGGATACTATTTGTGGGCTATGATGTGTAGCATTTGGATTAAGACGCGGATCCTACCTGTAGGCTACGATCGATAACATCTGAATCATGTAACTGGAAGTGAATCCTTCTCGTGGCTATGATTCAAATTTCTGGACGATAATGATAAAAGATTTCTTGCTTTTCTTTGCTCGAATCATGTTATGGTTCAAAAGTTATCTTTGAGGCTTTGATATTCTCGGCTGACACTCTCAGACTTCAACACTCTTAGTCTTTCGACACTCTTAGGCTTCGACATTCTCGG